TCTAGGGTGCATCTAGGCTAAACAACATAGTGTGCACTTGCAATCTATTCCCAATTTCCAGTTGTTTAAAATAAAAATTTTAGGCCAAACTCCATCCCTATAGCACATTTCATATAATTTGCAAATTAATTTGATTATCATTATGGTAGAGTGTCAGACAGGTTTAGAGGGCTATGTTTCAGATTGCACCATCAAATTAAACATCATTATCTCAACATGTTACTGCTACTCATCTTCAGAAATCCTTGCCACTGCATGCTCCAGGTATTTAACGCAACCACTGAAGATGCTAGACAATGTTATTTTGCTATATTGTCTTTAAAAGTGTGATAAATAATTTCTCGTCCCGAGAAACATAACGCTATTCAGACACAAACAGGCTATTCATTATCAGCACATATGTTATGTGATCTTGAGCCACATCACATTAGTTTGTACATGATAGGAAAAATGTATGATTCATAAATCATGGCATTTGTGCATAATATTCACAATTAATATAGCATTAAATACTACAATACGTTTGGAATAAATACAGATAATGTGTATGATAAATAGAGTGTCTGCTTTCCAATAGCGCCCCCTAATGACACATGAGAAATCATTCTGCAGACTTTAAAAAATTGCGATACATAATGTTCGGTTAATTCATCAACTGTAGTTAGTTCGTTTTGGCATCCACCGTAAGAAGCTTAAATCCTTGAACAAATCTTATAAGTTCTTCGGACTCTATTTTTATTCATCTTAAAGTAAAACGGGGCTGTGGAATTTAGATCTAAGCTCATACATTTTCCAGTCGCTGATACCCTTTACCCTAAATTTCTACCTGCCATGGTTTTAATAAAGAAACATATTTCTGAAGACGTAGCTTGGCCTTGTTTTACCTCTCTGCTGAATGTCAGTGTCTTGTCAGTTTCTTGGATGAGGAAAAAAAAAAAACGACATATCCAACACGGCAATGAATCACTCCCTCAGGGATAGCTTTACAAGAATTAGGCAGTTCTCCCTTACACAATTCAATTCAATGCAAGTGTATTTGTATAGCGCATTTCACGATACAAATCGTTGCAAAGCAACTTTACAGCAAATTAAGTTTCTACAATATTTAGTAGTAGCTTATCAGTGGTGACTGTCAGTTAATGTACATATGGCAGAAATGTACGGAAAAATCAATTAAAGACGTAATCAAACAGACGATGAACACTAGTAACAGCAATTATTATATGACGCAATCAAACTTATAGCAAAATGTGGCAGACAACATTCCTAATGGGGCTCTGGGTCCTGCAGCAACACCACTATTGTATCTAAAGCTGCCTCTAGGTGAGAAACATCAACTATATATAAATATAAATGCAGTTAAAGTCTTCGAGAAAATCGTGTAAAGAGGTCACCTTGCTATAGGTAAAATCACTTCCTATCTGGGGCAAGAAGCCCTGTACTAGCTGTCAGATTTTTTAATTATCATATTTAATGTTTAATTTATTTAGACAATTTTGTTAATGTATTAATGTCAAATAATTTATATATTCTATGAGTCAAATATAGCCTAATAATAATAATAATAATAATAATAATGACAACAACAACAACAGCAATTAGATAAGAAAAGAAAAAAGATGAACTAATCACAATGTTTCAAATAAATTTCTTAAATGTTGATGATCAGAATTATTTGGTTATGTTGCAGGGGGTGTCTTGCTTCATCTTCCCCTAATACATTTCTAAACTTCTATAACTTGAAATAGTTTATTCCATATTTTTTATTATAATTTTTTATATATATTTTTTAAAACTTTTTATTGTATTTTATTTATTTTATAATAATAATAATAACAACAACAACAACAACAACATTTACTTCCCTCCACACTAAACATGTATTTATTTATTTATTTCAGGTTTATTTGACAGGGACGATGCACATCAATAATACATAAATGTACGATGTGCCAGAATTAGCCAAAAGGCTATTTTACATCTGCAGTCCCTGGACTCATGATAAAATTGTCACCCTAAAAATATTAAAGAAATAAACTATACATGATACATTCATAATACATACATACTCCAATATACAAATAAAGATTACACTATACATAATACAGTTCTATCCAGCTATACTTACAACCAATACTTGGAGTTAATGGAGTTTCTTTAATATTTTATTTTATTTTATTTTAACCTGCCTCCTTCCGCATAAAAAAATAATTATTTAACTATTGGTTGGAGTTAATGCAGTGTTGGTGAGACCAGTGGCAGAATTTATGGTCAGTATATGGTCCATATGGTCTGCATTTGGTCCAGATCACATGCACACCACTGTGTGTAAATCTGTGTAAATATCCAATAAACCCTCAAGCAGCGTTTTATAAATAGGACTTCAGGGGTCAAACATGACACATACGGACCTCCAGAGTCCACAGAGAGCTTGATGAAAAACACCACAACTCCCGTGACCTATAGTGATATCATCCAAACAACATAATGTGACGTGTTGGTGAACATACTGTATAACAGGTTCACAAATGTTGATCATTATAAACTTCATATTAATGCACAGCTTTATTAATATAATGTGAATTTAATGCACATCTTTCAAAGCGTGCTTGTTTATAGTCCCTAAACTTGGATCCTTCATGCTGCTGAACTTTAAGGGCACTGTTGTGACAGTATACAAAGATTTATAGTGCAATAACTTTCTCTTTCCTCAGGGGGTTTATGTGAATTCCTGTTTTATGTATTATACCGTACATGCACTGAGATATAGTGCAGCCGTATGCTTTGGTTTAGTTTGACAGTGCTGTGATGTCATGCTTACTGTGATGTCATATACTTTGAATCTATTTTATTGTATGTTTTTAGATCTCACCCTTCACATATCGATGTGTACTGTAATTAATTAGCACTTGTGTAAGTGTCACATGTGTGCAAACAAATATGATTTTCCAGCTTGTTCTCATGTAAGTTGTTTTGTCTGTGGGAAATACTCTATATTTTGCTGTTCAGCTGGTTGGAGGAAGGCGTTACTAATGTTAAACACAAGGCCTTTCAAATGTGAAGTAATGCATGAAGCAGATGTAGTGTTATGCACCTTAAGAGCTTCATGAGGCTGGCCAAATATCTGTCTGACTGTCTCAAAATCTCAAGTGCTCTATACTTTCCCTTCTTTTTATCTTTGGAAAAACACAGACAGAGCTTTTCTCACATTGAATTTTACATACCTCCTGCTCCAGGTGTTTTCCAGTGTACTGTACAACACATAACTAAACATGGACTGAACAGCCTCAAACACCCTTTGTCACAGCTTTTATTAAATATACAGCTTCAGCGCCCTCTGTTGATCAATGACTTACAGTATATTGTAATATTGTGGTTTATATCAGCGTGTGTTGGATATTTAATTGTGCAAGCTCATATTTCATTATTTTTACATGCATGGTGATCTTTACCGTTATCTAATGCTTACTTAATTCATCATTAAAATCACTAATTTAATAACAACAATTACAATTAAACGTTATCTTTAGTAAATCAAAAATATTAATTTTTGGACTGTAATGTTGTGATGCCTGATTGTTTTTTTATTTACATTTATTTATTTCGAAAAAGTATAGAATTTTTATATCAGACATACATCGGCTATAACATAAACATAATTATTGGCTTTTCAGTCAAATTTTTAATTTCTGTGCACACCTAAATTCATCCTGAATTTCGGTGTTTCCTTTAAAAAAGAAGTATTTAAAAAGTCCTACGAAACCCAATTTCATCTTCTTCCTTGTAACAAGGTGCTTGAAATCAATCATGGACATGTATCAATAGTGTGTGAAGAATTATCTTCATACCTAAAACTGCCTGGTATTAATTGGTTCAATGAAACACAAAGGTTTGAGTGCCAAAGCAAATAATACTTTTCATAGCCTACGTGACTGCTCTTAATTAGATGGGATGGGAAAACATTTCAAAAACAAATTGCCTACAAAGAAAACCAGCTTTTGGTTAGGCCTATTGATTCAATTAACTATAAAGGAGAGAAAACATGCTCTGAAATTTATAGGCATTTCAAATGCTGCAGCAAATTTCTCACTGTATAAATTAAAACCTTCTTACAATAACTCCATGTGCCGACTACAAAATGTATGATTTATAAATATGAGAATTAAAACGTCACATGCTGATTTAGAGGTTGCTTTATAAAGATAAGCCTGGTTTACATTGAGATTAATCACTGGTTAGCTTCAACCTGTTAACGTTTACTCTGAACATGTTGCCTTATGCTCGTTTTAGACATTTTAACCTTAAAGATCCCCTGAAATGCTTAGAAACACGCAGCGTTACTCTATGTGCTGACGTCATTTTAACTGAAACAGGAAGACAGGGCGGGACATATCAAGCAGCACCGCCCCTTTTTAAAATAGCCAATAGCGTTCGTTTATATCACAGCTTGGGCTAGAACCGTTCAGAGCCGTTGAGCTCCGTAAAGCTGCATTTGACAGGGTATGCCAGCCACAATCTCATCCATATTGCTATAAAATATAGCATTCTGTGTAGAATTCAAATAGCTCCGATACATTTTGTGGTCTGCGCCGACTCGCGCATGTGATCCGCTCCGTGCTATCGTGTCTCTAGACCGGAGCAGAGTGTGTGTGCGGTGCAGTGGTTAGCGTGACACAGCGCGAAACCAGACTTCTTTTTTTCCTGAATGGAAAGCATATTTAAACTGTTTGAAACGTTCCCTGTCCCCTATATAGTGTGCTACGTGCCATTCACTGTACAGAAAATACTAATTCTGTGGACAACCTTATAGATAACCTTAAGAATAACATATTGATACTAACACCCAAAAAACTTTAATTTTGATTTCATGGGGACTTTAAATGTTAATGAAAAAAATGTCAACTAGGCTACATCTGTTCAGCAAATTCCTCTAACCAATCATAAACCTCAAAAAGCAACACGTGACTAAACGCGGAAGCGCATATGTAATGGACGAGCTGCAATCTAGGCTTTAAAAAACGTCTTTATTGGATCACGTAATAGACACGCACGAGTCCAGCAGCAGCTCAGCTGTCAGAGAGCTGGAGCTGTTCAACAAGCCCGGAATAACGCGGAACACACATTAAACTCCATATTTCATTTCATTTATCACATCTCCTGGTGAGTTTCCAAATGGAAGTGTTTTGTTAACTGCTTTGAATACAACAGATGAGAGGTGGAGGTTAATATGTGGGCTTTATGAAAGGGTGTTTGCCAGTAACACTTTCATTATGTTGGATTGTTGTTTTAATACTTAATAAGATACTTGTGTTTCAAGATTCACTAGATAAACTATCATATAGGCCTCTTCTTCAAGTCTGAATGTCACTTCGCAATGTTAAGCAGGTGTTTACTTTGTAAATCCTCATGCATGACACGCTCGTGGTCAGTACGTCAGTATAAGCTGGTCCAATGCTAATAGGCCAAAAAAGGTCATTTAGCTTAATACGCATAATAATTGAAGTTCTTCTGTAGAAAAATACTACAGTATATTGGTACCATGGTACTGTAATGACGCCAGATGGTAATACAGTCAGTGGTACTCTGATATTATATTATTGTATTTACTTTTAAAAAGAGTACTTAATATGTTTTAAAAGAATATACTTAAGTTTTAAATTTAAATAAAATGCAATCAGTTGAACTTAAGAGCGCTTTTTTGGCATAAGAAGGACTTAAGTACATTTTTGTATGTAATTTCATGAGTTCTTCCATTGTCTTTGAAATATGGTTAATGTATGTTAAATGTACTGACAATTTATGGTAAACTCAAATGTACTTTAATGCCATTAATGTTTAAACTTGTATGTCATGTATTCAAATATTTACGTAATTACGCATTTGAACGGATTCAGCTCTAGTTTAGTACATTTAAATATATTTATTTTAATGTATTATTGAACACACTAATTAAAATTTAAATTAAGCATGTGATTTAGTCAACACTTTAAAATAAGTGTATTTCTTTAAAGCATGACAAAAGAATATTAAAATTTACTTTTTTTTATTTGACCAGTTTTATTACATTATCTGCAAGTATAATTTTAAAATATACTTTGAAGATTTGAAATACACTACAAGTGAATATTCATATTCAGTACAATTAAGCACGCTTCTTTTTCACGAGGGTACACATGCACATGCAAGTTATTCCAACAACAAAAAGACTTGGTAATATTTTTGGTAATATTTAAACAAAATGTGGTAACTTTTTATTTCACAAACAATCTTTCCATTTCTACAAAAAAAACTAAATTGTAGAAGTAAAATTGGCTTGTTGGCAGATCTTGTAATATAAGAAAGGCAAGGAAGTCATGTGACATAGAGGCAGGTATGTAGCATTAAAAAACATGGAGTTGACAACATTCCTGACTTCTTCTTTCAGTTATGGAGCAAGTGAAGCAGGAGGCCTTTGATAACGCCAGGCTGCAGGTGATCAAAGATGGGTACGAGAAGGCATTCGCATGCATCAATAAAGCTCTCACAGAGGATGAGGCGGGCCACAGTGCAGAGGCGCTAAAACTGTACCGACAAGGGCGGCAGCACCTCCTCAGGGCTCTCAGTGTTCCCTCACAGGGTATGGAGTGTGTGGGTCCCTCATGGGAATCAGTTAGACAGATGCAGCGCAAGATGCAGGAGACTCTCAACAACATCACCACTCGCTTAGCCATGCTGGAAACCAGCCCAGACCTCAACGAAGTCTCGGATAGCAGCGCAGCCCCTCAGAAACTCTACCCTGAAGTCCCGAAGGTCAAGCCGGAGAGGCTGACTCCACCACAGACTCCTTCCAACGGCGGGGTTGCAGGGGCTTCGGGTGGGCCAGTTCCGGTCTCTCCCTCAGCGCAGCCCAATATGAACAAATTTTGAATAATAATGAAATTATACATTTTTAGTTTTATACATTGTTATTTGTTGTGCTAAATTCTATAAACCAATAAACACACATATACACACATTTAGTTTCTTTTATTTGAAATGTTAAATAGTTTTTGTTGTATTAAATTTAATAAATAAAAATGAATAGAAATGTAGTAATTTTAAAATTCTGGTTGAATGACATTTTTGCATAGTACAGTAATGAACATTTGGGGAGAAAATGTGCTTTATAAACGGTTAGTTTGTAGAATTATACATAAATGTAAATATACGTAAATTATATATAAATATAATAATAAAATAATTAAATTTTTTATTTTAATGTAATAATTTTTAATTGACATTTTTATGTACATGACAGTTAAGCATGTTTTCTTTTATAAATTTATAGCATTTCTTTGTATTAGAACAAATATTAGGGCAATAAAAAATAATGTCGCAATGCAAAAATCTTAATGGCCCTAAAAACAAGCTTAATATTATTTACATGAAATATAATTTCTTATTTGTGGGTGAAATGTGACCCAGACATGTTGAAGGCAAGTTTCATGAGATTCTTTCAAAAACGGTTGCTTGATCTGTTCAGCCCATAGAGACTGTTCATGTAGATAATTTCCAGGCATTTGTACAGAACGGTCCAAGTAGGCTTGTTTTCAAGACATGGTGTCCTGTAACCTACTTTCACAACCTTTTGTCTGGCTCTAAAGCTCCCTGCGCTCTTGAGATGGTGTTATCTTTAATGAGACCAACCTCATCCATTGTTTCTTAAAGTGTTAGTTCACCCAAAAATGAAAATTCTATAGAAACAGCCGTTAAAGGGATAGTTCACCAAAACTTTTAAATCTGTCATTAATCACTCACCCTCATGTCGTTCGAAACCTGTAAGACCTTCGTTCATCTTCTGAACACAAATTAAGATATTTTTGATGAAATCAGAGAGCTCTCTGATCCTCCATAGACAGCAAGGATACTATCACGATCAGAGCACAGAAGCGTAGCAAGGACATCGTTAAAATAATCCATGTGACATCAGGGGTTCAACCGTAATTTTACGATGCTACGAGAATACTTTTTGTGCGTTGATCGTGATAGTATCCTTGCTGTCTATGGAGGATCAGACCATTTCCTACGGCACTGACTCGGGCGAATTCTCCCTGGTTGGCGATGAGTTCTACAGCAATACGTCTAATTCTGCACCTTCTCCTCCGTGTCTGGGGGAGGATGGAGAGGAACTCTTTTTCCTTCCTCAAGGGGTGCAGATCTTCTTCGTTACACCTGAGGGGCAAGTCAGTGCTCCCTCTTATCCAGGGTACCTGCGCATCGTAAAGTTCACCAGTGAGCAATCAGAAAGGATTCCAAACAGGCCACCTGCCTTCCTACAGGTGAGAAATCAAAAGCTGTGTTATTTAGTTATTCTTCATATGCCTGAAAGAGAGAATCTCACGACGAAATGTCCAGCTTTTTCATATTAAACACAATAAAATAAAA